GCTACGCTCTTTTCCTTTCTGCCTCAACCCTGCATGTTCAAATCAAAGGCCATGTGCGTCTGTGCGGGTTACATAAAAATTCATACGGAAGGGCTCTGTCTCTCGAAGGAACCGAAAGACGTACTGAGAGTGACTGAATCTTGCCAATTAATAAATGAAGAAATGTATTAAAGCAAAGATATTGCCTCAAAAGTGGTTTTTTAATTTATTTTGACAATCAGCTTGAATAATTTATTAGAATACTTCATAATGTACCAGTAAATGGACTGCTGGGAACATTTAGAAAAAATAATTAAGTCTTAGCAATTGGGCACCTCAGTACAACATTTTTTTCTGGTGTAAAATCTTTGATCTTTGAAAAATGTGTGTGCAAATATGCAGTCTGACCCCGGGGAGTTCGGCGCACCGAACTCCAGGTGCCCGGGACAAATTCCTGACTCCCCCAGAGTGGTGGGGAACGGCACAGCGTCGTTCCCAACGTGGTCATCTAGCCCGGTAAAGCACGTTCCCTCTTCTCCGACTCTGCCCGGATGCTGAGTCTTTGTCACAATTTTCAAAATATTTCTCTTGTTGGAGGTTGAAGAATCAAATGTGGAAAGCGCTCCTTTCGCCACAACCAATTCTAGCTTTTTTTCTTACCAATTTCTGTATATCCCAGCAAGACCACACTCAGTTGTACAATACAATTTATCAGCTTTTTAGTGTAAAGAAGTTTGCCTTGCCGAAGATGCCAAGCTGGCTGCGCTGGGTGTAGAGAGGTTTCTGAGGGCTGGATTCGCTATTGAAGGAGGTGGCTGTTAGATATGGCCCGTTATTAACAGGATTGGAGCCCGGGAGAGTCCCAGTGCTTGTGATCAGCTCCCAGTTCCACCACTGATTGCCAGGTGACCTTGGACAAATTCTTTTCCCTTTCTATCTCTTTCTCTCTCTTTGCAGAGAAACTTTTCTGCTTAAATCCTGAGGCGAAGGTTGGTTAGTATTTGTTCGTTCGGTCAACATGTGGATAAGGACTAATTTTAGTAAAGGTCTTTAAGTAGGAGTTTTATTTCAAAAACCCAAATAATTAGATAATGCCTGATGGTTTTTGAATACCCTCTAGTAACTACTTTAAATACACAAAAAAAGGAAAGGAATGAAAACCAGCTCACCCTCTTGGCTGTGCTTCCCACACAGCCCTCTACAGCGGGAAGTTTTACCCAAATAAGCCTGAACGCACCCAAGAAGCAGACGTGCTGACCCCCTTGTTCTGTGGGGCTGGTTTGGGGGGCGTTGGGGGTCTTTTAGCTGATGTTCACGCACTCTGAACTCATTCTGCTCTTCCAGTGAATACTGAAAAGCCCCTCCTTGGTGTACGCCGACAGATGGTTAAGAAATATTATTGTATCCTCACATGACAATTTTTTTCTTTTTATTGAGGTTTTCTTTTCTTCCTACTGAGAAAACCAGTAAATCGTGAAAAGCGGCGATCCTTGATAGTCTCACCATTTTTTTCTTCAATAACAACCGGATTGTTCCACACATCCAGTTTTAACCACCGCTCCTCGCTGGCAGAAAGGCTGCGGGGGGGTTGGTTGCAGGACTCAGTTCAGCTCTAACCGCGAGAACCTGGTGGGGCTGTGTAACTGAGAAGTTCCAAACTCCTTGTCTGTATCTGGGGGGGGGGTTTGTTTGGTTTTAAAATAAAACTAGCTCTCTGAAATATCCTGGGTGCTTATGTCTGTGTATGCTGAGTAAATGTACAGAGTAGGGGATGGCTGTTGGAGCCGCAAGGCATTAGCGTGTAGTGCTGTGCTGTCAAAGACTGGAAAGCTGCTCCACCGGTCTGAGTTAAGGAATTAAATAAACATCCCGTTCCCATCCCTTCAGTTTACATCCTAGTTTTGCCTGTTATCCTAATATGGGATAATTTACTGGGAAAACAAAGTCAGGACAGGCAAGAACTTCCCAAGGGAGGAAAGCCCCAGGTCACTATTATGTATTGACATCAAGCGACAGCCCTACGAGTAAGCACCGAACGGTGAAACAAAAGCGATTGCTTCGTGTAACTTCAGCAGCAGAACAGCCTGTGAGTGCAACGAGAAGACGTGCCGCGAGGCAAACTTGTAGCCCGGGCTATCGGTATAGCGTCGCAGTGTCTCCTGATTTATTAATGGACGGAATCTTTGCAAAAACCAAACTGATGTGCAATTGTGTATCAGATTTTTTTTTTTTTTTTTGGGGGGGTGGTGGTGGTGGCGGTGTTCAGGTTTTTGGTGCTTTTGTTTTATTTTTAAATGACCACTTAGCAGATTAGTTGGTTGCTTCCAGTCGTGTAATTGTGCATACAAATCGGGCATTCAATTGTGCCTTCCTTTTTTCCCTTTTTTTTATGCTGTGTCCCTGAGCTACTTTGGTTTCTAAATTCAGGCCTTACATATTTATCTGTGCCATTCAATTAGACCACATCCCCAATGCTGCTGTATAGTTTCACAGTATGTGGGAAATTTGGTAATTAAATGCATGCAAATACTGCAAGAATAGAATAAATTAATTTTTCCTTAATATCAGCAGCCTATTCTGTAATGTTTCTGGAGCTAATGTCACCAAGATGCTGGCTTTTCTCTCCCCTTCTTGCCATGTTTTTTGAGTCTTTATTGTTATTACTCTAGAAATACCTGGTGGAGTTTATATGAAAAGAATCCCAGCCCAGGCTACGCTGTGTAGTTACGTTAGGAGGGAGATCTATACTGAAGTTTTTTGGATCTCCAGATAAAATCTGGGGTGGAAGCAGCGTTTGATTAAGTTCTACACGTGTGGTGGCAGCTTTAGATTTGCGTGTGAATCGGAGCCTTCAGAAAGCGGCGCCGTCACAGCTGGGGTGAGGCAGTTGCAAGGAATAACCTGGAATCACTTGGCAGGATACTTTGCACTAGACGTTCTGGGTTTTGGAAATATCCCAATATATTAAAGGCTCTTAAAAAAAAAAAAACAAAACAACAAAAAGGACTTTGTTATTTCTACGCCGTATTTATTCGTGAAGTCTGCCGCAATCCACAGAAAGTTGTGATTCTCGGTTTCGGAGCGTGCCCATTGCTGAGGCTGGCAAACGCGTCCCAGCTCGTCCTTATGGATGGGCGCGTGCCTCCGTTTCGGTGGTGTCTCTGGCTTCTGTGAACTCTTCCCACGCGGATACAGCACCGTCTTCAAAGCCGAGGGCTGTAAAGCCCATTGGTGGCTAACGTCATGCTAAAATAGCTGAATTGGAACAATTCAGTCCTATATTGTAGTTTATAAGGAATTTGAAAGTTGTTCTTCTTTCAGAGATCCCGAAGCTTTAATTTTGATGCTGCGTGCACGTTTGCTTAACAGATCCGACCTTACCGGTGATCTTTTTTCTTTACTTAAGGGGTGTTATCCCACGTAGCTTTTAGCTTCTTTCTGTGCCCTATACCCGTGGTTATTTTGCCTTTCCTCTTGAATTTGTTGCCACTTTGGCTTCCTCCCTGAAGTGCCGAGCGATGTCCGGGCTGGGTTGTATTCCAGCCTGCAGTACTGCAGTGCTCTTGCATCAGTGCAGGGTTTCTGGAATTCCTCTCCTCTCTTGGCCTCCTCCTGGAGTGTGAAAAGCTTGAAGAGGTACCAGCAGCTCAGAAATGCAATATATTCTTGTTGCTGGTTCTCGAGCGAGAGCTTGGCAAAAGGTGCAGAGCTGCAGAGGGTTTGTAGGCGGCTGGATTCAGATAAACGAACTTCCTCGCGGCTCTTCTCTTTGGTAGGAGTGGGGGGGAGAGAGCAAGGTGCTCTTCGTAGGGACAGTGTAAAATCCTGCCAGAGCTCTGTGCTCCTTTGCAGGTTGGAAGCTGCACGAGGTCTTCCTTAGCTGTGCTCCTGTACCTCGTCCCTTTTCTTTTTGTCATGGAGAAGCGCTCGTTGGCGTTGCATCTGATGCAAGAGAAGACTCTGTGTCTAACCCGCGTATTATAGAAACTTAACTTGCAGAGGTTACTATTGTACTTGATGAAAGTCTTTTAGAATTATTTCATTCTCAGGGTGTGAAATGAATAGAAACCATGAAAATTATACATGTGCAAAATGAAATTATGAGATGTGACTTCCCGTAGTAGAGATGTGGAGTGCTCTGGGGTAGGAAGAGATGAGCCCACTGAGGTCTTGGTCCTGCCTAAAGAAGTGTCGGAGTGTTCCCTGGCACAGCTATTCCAATGCATGCTGAAGGTGTTAAGGAAACTTCTCCTTAACTGCAGTAATATCTGATGGGACACAGAGGAGCGGGTTTTTTTTGTTTTTCAAAAGAGCTCGGCATATTCCGTGCACGTCGGCCACTGCGCGCTCTCGTAAACCCAGCCCCAGGTTACTCCTCCTGTTGCTTTGCTGAGTGCGTTGTTAGCGGGGTAAGGACCGTGCCAACCCCCAGCTCTCTTCAGACACCGCCGAACACCTCGTCCTGACCCTGGGAATAGCGCTGACTTGGAATTTTTATCTAATAATCAGGTTTTATCTAATAATCAGTTTGCTAGAGAGCAAGGACCAGCAGAATCATTTTCACAGGAAAATCTGCTTTTGATAAAGTCGCTTTTCAGAATGGTTTCTGTAGTCTAGACCAGAGTTTGTGCTCGGGGGACGCCCAGAGCAGGAGAGCCGTCGGGGTGGCTGGTGGAGATCCAGATCTGTGGGCCCATTCTGCCTGTGTTGCAAAACTTGGGTGACGTAGCGTGGCGGGCAGGGACGGGCAGGGATGGGCAGGGACGGGCAGACTCACTCGGTGTCCAGCACTCGATGTGCATCTGCCTGTAGCTTGTATTGGGAGTGAAAAGCAGCAGGTCTGCTTGCCTCACTCTGTGAGGACTTGAAGACCAGAGTTGCCTTTGGATCGTCAATGCTCTATGCTTGTCCGCCTGTTTTTTGCCGTGACTGACTTTGTTCTGCCTGTGCTGTTTGCTCCCCTGCAGAGCTGACCTGTCCGGGGTGCGACATAACTAAAGAAGCAGCTGCAGGATGAAAAGATGGCAGCACGGCTGCTCGCACCACCAGGCCCTGATAGTTTTAAACCCTTCACTCCGGAGTCTCTGGCTAACATTGAGAAACACATTGCAGAACTAAAAAAGAAGCAGCGTCCAAAGCAAGACAGCAGCCACCGGGATGACGATGAAGACAGCAAACCAAAACCAAACAGTGACCTTGAGGCGGGGAAGAATTTGCCTTTCATCTACGGGGACATCCCAAAAGGCCTGGTTGCTGTACCACTGGAGGACTTTGACCCTTATTATATGACCCAGAAAGTGAGTCTGCAAGAAAGAAGTCGCTAAACCGCCTTTTTCTTAGGAAATTGCAGGTTTGGGTATGGTTTAAGTGGAAGACAAAGAATGGTGTCTTTGGATGGGGCTTGCTTGGTTTGGTTTGGTTTGTTACATGTTTTTCTTTGAGGTTTAATAGAGTTTATGTGATCAATCTTTAAGCACCTGCTTGGATGGAGTTAGGAGAACAAGGTCTGGAAACTAAAAATAGATAAAGTTGTGCTAATGTACCAATTTTAACCATGAGGGCAATAAGAAGAATTTAATTGAGAGGTAACAGTTTTAAGTGTGTATTTTGTAACAGTTTTAAGTGTGTATTTCGTAACGGTTTTAAGTGTATATTTCGTAACGGTTTTAAGTGTGTATGTCATTACTTGCATGGAATTCAGTCTGAATTTGATCGTTACGAAGTAGTGGGATATAGAATCATGACAAAAAAGAATTCATGTAAACTAATTAACTAACTGGCTTTCATCTTCATAATTTTAATTTTTAAAATATTTGTCTGTGGAGTTAAGACGATATGGCAGGAGGCATTTAGGGGTGCCGAGATGTGTTAAGAAATTAAGTGGTGTCGTGAGGGAAGTGATGAGTAAGCAAACGCTATGCTGGAAATGGAGGGGAGGGATCTTCTACTGGTGAAATAAGGAAGAGCATGGTCACTGATTTTCTTAGAAGGACAGATGACTCAAAACAGAGGTTCTTTACTACTGTTTAATTTCATTGCTTTCTTTGATGGAAATTTAATTTGAATAAGCTGAGATAATTGCCACCTATAACTCAGGCTTAGCCGTGCCACTTGAGAAGCTGGGGCTTTGACCGTATATGTGACAACAGTTGTGATGTGACCGTTCAAAACTTGGGTAGAATGACTGTCATGTAAAATCAGTAAGTTGTCATGGGTAACAAAATGTTTTATGACTTTGCGTTGGGACAGACATTTCTCGCCACACTCGGAAGCGATTCTGTGACTTGCAGGGCGTTATTCACATGAAATCATCTGAATTTGCTGCTAACGTTGGGTATAACTGATGGTTCTTCTCTGCATTTCCACTAGTGAACTTAATGCTTATTTGTTGTGTCAGTGGAGCGAGGAGTGCAGGTACCAGCTGAGAACAGGGCTTTGGAACACGTTGGTTTGTGTGGGTGTGCAATACCAGGCAGACGGGCGTTCAGGTTGACGTGGTGCCTAAGGAAACGTACGGACAGCTGCTGTTGCTGGTAAGAAGGTAGCTCACGTTATCCCTCAGAAATACTTGCTCTTTATGAAACAAATATTTTCTTGTTATTAAACATATCTGGTGTTGCCTGGTTTTGGTGTGGGCAGGCTGTGAAAAAGGGACGCGTAGCTGAAGAGCAGTTCCTGGGATCTCGCTGGCTGTGTGTGGCCGCCTGCGCCCCGCCAACGCAGGTGGTACGAAGCGTCGCTGGAAATCCAAACGGGAGCGTTCTGTGCCCCCTTCGTGTTCACGCAGCCGAACGGACAGTGTACGTGGGAGAATTGGGCCCTGTTCTTTCTAGCTAAAATAGGAGAGCAGTGCTGAAAGGGCGGTGGGCACTGCCATGTCCTGGAGCCTTGGGCAAGGGCTTCTCGGTTGTCTCAACGTTACAGCAGCAGTAGGAGGCAGAGGGGAACCCTGTTACACCTCACGCTTTGTCAGTCTCCATATTCGCCTCCCAACATAATGCTATTAATAGACCTTTCATTTGTAGAGAAAAATAAGGCACATCCCCACTTTGAAGGCATCTGTCACGTCTCCAGAAGAGCGCCGTACGTTTCTGCCTGCAGCCGCTCGCCGAGTTTCTGCTCGCTCGGCGTGCCTGCCGTGCGGGGATGCGAGCTCTCCGCGGAGCTGGAGCAGCTGCAGATGGAGGGGAAGGTTCTGGAGATGGGAGACAAACTCGCACAGCCCTGCCAACCTCGTACCTGCCATTCTGTGAAAAGAGCCTTGCTCTTCCCATAAACACTGGATTAACGTTTTACTGGCTCTGTTTCTTTTGCGTCCACCTCAGGATGGCGACAGCTTAGGTGCGTGCTGCTGCTTTGCTGCTTCAAGTAGTCAGTGACTTCCCACAAAGAATTTTTTTTAAGGCCATTAAAAAAGGCCCTTGTCTGAATCATCAGGAATTGCGAATCTGCTTGATTCATGGGAAGTTTTCCAAGATTTTTTTTTTTTCCTCCCCCCCTCTCCAGCATTTGCCAGAAGGCTTTGCATCATAGGTCTTTTCTTTTAAAGCTAGATGTACAGCATGCATAGGAACAAATCAGCTGGTCGCTTTTCCTTGCAGTAGGGCACAGTGATCTTGGTTTATCTAAGGAAACGGAAACTGCATTTTAACGGAGGAGCTGAACTTTCCAGTGGCCTGATAACTGATATTTAAAGGAGAAACAGCGTGACCTAGAAACAGAACCATGGCACGGGGAGTCAAAACTCCTGCGTTTGGAGCCCAGCCCTGCAAGCAATGGTTTTGTCCGAGCTATTTCTCTTTTCTCTGCTCAGTTGCATTTTGGAAAATAGGAGTAATGACTCTTAGGAGAATCAGGAAAGTCTCTTTGCTCACAGGTAGCAGATTTTTGAGCTAATTTAGCTCCTTTTTGTCTCTCTTTAAGTACCAGAGAGAATTTTTTCATGAATCTTTCTTTTGCAAATAGTAATCGCCTTCCAATTCCTGACCTGAAGCACATGGTAGAACCAATACTTGCCCATGATATTTGTCATGGGAACCTGAAATGTTTCAGTTAAAAACCCCAAAAGGCAGGTACATGAACTTCCTTGTTTACACGTGCAAACAAAATTCAGGAAAGCTACCTGTATGAGCATCCCTAGCAATGAAAGCAAAGCACCTGATTGCCTCATAGTCTAGTCATCCTTCAGGGTTTGCTTAAGCAAGAGGTAAGGACCATCATCCTCTTTTATTTCTGCAGGTTTAGTACTAGTATGTCTTTTTTAAAGATGTTTTTCCATCTTTTAGACCTCTCTTTTTCCTTCTCTTCCGTTTGCAGCCTAGGCTATCACTCCTACTAAACAACTCCCCACCCCGTTCTTTCCCATTGAACGTGACGTTTGCCAGGTTGTGGCCGTTTTCCTCAAGTAACTTCCATCTCACTCAGCGTGAATCTCATACTTGCTACAGAACAAGGTAAAGGTGCTGACGTTCCTGCAATGGCTCCATTTCCGAGGCGGTAGCAGGTCCCTGAACATTCTGGGAATTGGGGCCATGTATAAGCTCAGGTGGCTGGGTGTCAATGGAGGAGTCACCCCTGCGGTTGTAGAAGACTGTCTGTATATCCGTGAAGATCTGAGGCTGGAGTGGGCTTGGCTGAGGTCACCTATAGCTTGCAGATGAGCACCTGAGGATCGTTCTAGTGTGTATGTGCCAATGGAGTGACTTGCAACTTCATCGAGTCACATGCACGGTTTGGAAATGGGCCCTCTGGTCCAGAATGTCACCTTGCCTGCGTGGAACTGGGAAAATTACAGGGATGTGGAGAGACCAGCTTGCGGGAGGCATGTCTGGCTCTAGCATGTGCTTCCAGGAGCCTGCGCTTGTGACTTCTGTAGGGCACGGTAACGGTCCTACAAGGTCATGATGCCATTAATGGGGTTTGCATTTCAGTGGAGTCACTGAAACAGAGGGAAGAATCGAGACCATCTCAAAAATCAGCCTTTCATCCTTATTTCCAACAGCTAATTACCTTTTCCAGGTCTTGCGTGTTTAATGTTATGTTCTCTTCCGCTCCATCTCTCCAGTGGGCTCAAAAGGAGCAGGAGAAGTAAGCGTGCCCTTCCTAGCTATCGTCCCTGCTGTCGTGGTAGAGTGAAGAAAGGGGAGTGTGATCCCCGTCAGGCACCTTCCCCGGCCCTTTCTGGGTGTTGGATGGAAGGCAAAGTGTCATGGAGTTGTTTGCTGTTGTACGGCTGTTCGTGAGACGACAGATAACGGTACTGCTCGCATCCGGTCCCCAGGGTTGCCGTAGCACGTAGAGCTCTCATGCTGTGAGCAGGGTACGCCGAGTGTGGCACGGACTGGGAGGCGAGAGAATCTCTGCTGCAGTCACCTAAATAGCTGCAGCCCACTGGTGATGAGTGGAAGGAAGGAGAATCATTTCCGCTTCTGAGGCAGAATGAATTTCCTCACGTAGGCAGATTGTGGTGTCGTTAAAACTTTAATCCAGACCAATTTCTCAATATCGCATGTAGAACAATATTTATTTTTTAAATATATCTTTCAGGAATGTTTTATTTGATACATTTCAGAAAATGTCAAAGGTTTTTCCTATGTTGGGCTTGAAACAAGAGATTAAAGCAAGAGCAAAATGTGGGAGGCACTTTTTCCCCGTAAGCTTTTCAGCAGTGAAGAATAAGTTACTAAGAAAGAATGAATTTGTCCCCTTTTGGGGTGTGTGTGGAAAAATAAATATTAACCGATATGGTTTCTGTATTAGGAAGTACACTTCCATGAGCCAAAACAGACTTGCAAAATATTTTGCGTTGACGTTTAATTCTGTATATACTTCTTCAGCCTACGGGGTGCCAGAGTTCCCTGTAAATTAATTTTGAAAATAGCTGCTAAAGTAACTTGCTCAGGGTGTCATCAGAAAGTCGTCGCTCTCTCTTGCTTAACATTGAGAGTAAGGCAGTCATCAGCTGCCACCGTAGGAATATGGTTCCATATGTTCTTAGGCTGTTCGTAAAGCTGTTTTCTTCTTAAATCTTCTGCCCACTCCTCCTCACTTTGCAGCCATTACAGAAATGCTTAATGTAAAACCCGCGTGAAGCAAGAGTATTTTCATCTCCATATAGCTGGAATGCTTTTTGCCATCACTTGATCAATTCTGTTGTGCTCTCCAGCATAGCTTCTTTAATGTGCTGTTTTGCAAATTGAGAAGACTTGTCTTTTGTGATCTTACTTCTTTTTCATGTGAGGACTATTTCTAAGGTTCCTGTAAAGCGTAGATTCCCAGCCAACATCAAGAAAACTAAAGTGGACAGAGCCTTTTTTCACAAGTCTTTAGCAACAAACTGAGACTTCTGAAAGTTCAACCAGACCTCATCCCTTGGAAGATGACTGCAAAATGCCTTTCTCCAGGTATCACCTTTCTCTGAGTTTTGAGCTTTGCCTCAGCAGATCTTAAAAGGGCTTAAGGACGTTCTTGGACCTGAACCAGCAAACATTTTAAGAGCGTGCAGCCATTTTGAAATTGAGTTTTAATATGTCAGCAGCAGTTATAAAGAAAAACTAAGATAAGGGTTTAAATTGCCAAACACTTTTTGGCTTTCGTGCTTTTCTTTCTACTGACAAGGCCAAGCGGAGTTTTACCTGGGATTTTATAGGACACACAGGGGAACTGGAGCAGTGGATCTCGGAACCGTCGGAATCGATGAGCAGGCTGGAATGTATGGCACCTACTTTGTGCTGCTGTTGTCCCAAGAGGCCCAGTTATGATGGGCTTCATAGACAGGGATCGTTTCAGCAAGCATTATGGTCTAAAAGGAAAGCTGGGCAGAGCATGGAAGAGACAACAAGGAGCTGCCTTAGGTAAGGCCGTGTAAGAGATGGAGGACCAAGCTGGCAAGCAGAATGTGGAGTTCGTGTTTGGTAGGTGATTGCCCTGGTCATTGGATGAAGTAGCTTATCTTACAACAGGGAATGCCAAATTTCTGGGTTGATCCTTGTGTAGCAGCTAGTGAAAATGTGTGTTTCCATGTAATGACTCCAGCGTGCCAAGGCAAGCAGGCTCTGACCCTCCACGTAGAGCAGTTTACATCCACTTTCCTGCCTGAGCCTGGCTCGCTCTTCTGGTACAGGTCGAAAGTCTTTGGGTTGGTTTACATCTGTGAAGCAGCATGCACGGACCTGTGTCTCCATGTGAAGAACGGGTTTACTTCTGGCTTGCTGAGCTGCATCTGAGCAAGCCGTTGTGCTCCTCCACCGTGATTTTTCCTGTGTAGAAATGGAGGCGTAATGAAACGGAGCCGCCTCACAGAACCACTCCATGGGTTTGGGGGAATTTCTGACTTTGTCCAGCTCACCTTGTGCCCACGTTCAGCACAGTCACGTCGCAGATTTCGTTGCTTAGAAGATGCGGTGGGGTTGAGCGCTCAGTGTTGTGCCAGGGACACAACCAAAGCCCGTGAGCATCCCAGTGTGATGGGTGTCCTGCTCCAAAGCCTCTCAAGGGACAGCGAAAGAAGATTTAAAAAGGAATGGTGTGTGAGTCTTGAAAAGTTGGTGGTGTCAGGGAAGGAGGGACAGCTGGATCTTAAAATCAGTTGTCCCTTGACCACTCTGTAGTCTGCAATTTTGAAAACCATACAGCCTTTTAGAATGTTGTTACATGCCAAGGTGATCTGTTCATTAATTCTTGATGCTGCAATTTAAGAGCTGTCCAGAGTTGTCTTTTAAGTGCTTTTCTTGGGAGATGCATTAATGGTTATGCTAACTAATCTTTCTCACTCAGTGCTGAACCACAATCTGATTTTGATTTCCTTTTCAAAGAATTTACTGCTCAATGGTCTAATTTAGCCAAATGAGCTAAAATACGTTGTTTCACTTACTAGGAGGGAAATGACAAATTTCATAAGAGTGAGTCTCCTGGGGAAGCACAGTGACTGCGTTGGCAGCAAGCCCCTGTGGATTCCCTTGTGTTGGACTCCGGGAAGGCTCGGGGCTGTGCCAAACGGTGGGCTGGTGCCGGGGAGCGAGCCTGCAGCGAGTCCGGCTTTGCTCTATCCCCCTGCAGCGGCCGGGTTCATCCTGCCTCGCTGATGCTGCAGCATCCCGAAGGGAATGTAAAATGGGAAAATGGTGCCGGAGAAAGGGCTTTGGCTTTTCAGTGCACACAAATGGCTTTTTTTTCCTTCAAGTCGAGTGGTAGGTGCATTGAGTGTGCTGGTATTAAGCAACCACAGTTCTAATTTTGCCTCTCCAGATGGCTGCGTGTGATTCTCCCGGTGCTTTTTGATATGCATGTTCGCTAGCGGGGAGATGAAATAGCGGGTCTGTATTTTAAGGCTGGTGATGGAAAGATGAGATCGATTCTGCCTCACGTTTACATGATTCATTCCACAGGTTCTGTATAAAGTAGCGAACCTTAACATCTCGCTAATTAAAGGCAACGAGAGCGCATGACTGTTCCTGGAGTTGGTGCGCCAGCATGGAATGTGCTCAAAATTCAATGAGTGGGGACGATGGGTATCGGATTGGTGTCTGCTGGGGTGGGGGACTCTGCCGTGACATTTTCTTTCCGCTTACCTGTCAATCTTTCTTTGCAGGTGAGGTGCTGTCTTGTAAAAACACGATTCGTTGGGGTAGCTGTTAGCGAGGTTTGGGAAGGAGGCGCAGGCTACGCAAACGCTGTGCCGGAAAGATGGTCTTGAGCATGGAGCAGTGTCTAATTCTGAGGTCTGGGTGCAGCTGCTAATTCTCCCGAATTCGTAGTTGCTTTGGGCCTTGGTTCTTATCTATTCGATAGGGATAAGAGCGCTTCGACCCTCGTGTGATGAAATAGTGCGCTCTTGGATGGGGGATTTTGCTTCTGCTCTGAGGTGTCTAGTAAAATGGATGGTTTGGAGTAGAATTATTCATGATGTACTGGTAGGTATGTTTTACCCTAATGGGAACTTCATAAAGGAGATTGTTCTTTAAAAAAGCAGAAAATGCTATTTTTTACCATGGAAGTTGTTCGTCTTTTTTTGTACAATTCATGCTTTGATTTTCATGCATTAACTCTCTCTCTCTCTTTTTCTTTCTTTCTGTTTCTCTACAGACCTTTGTAGTACTAAACAGTCCGATTTAGTGCCACACCTGCCTTGTACATTTTAAGTCCTTTTAATCTGTTTAGAAGAATAGCTATTAAAATTTTGATACATTCATATCCTTTTTATTACCGAGTTATTTTTGCCTTTGTATGTTCATTGAGAAATCTCTTGCCTGTTGTCTTATTGCTCAGTTCAAACAGTGTCTGTGAATTCACCTGGTGAAGTTGGATTGGCCTCAGAGCATCCACAAAAACATGCTTTTTTGACTGAAAAAGCATGGTCCTTTAGACACATCCAATCAAGTAAACTTTTCGTTTATTTTCCCTGCTAAATTGTACTTATCTGTGTCCGTTCTTCCGTCAGTGCACAGACATTGATAAGTTTTGGAACAGATACGATTTAAGGTTATGCTTCACATGACGAGTAGTTGAGCTTTAACTAGCTGCTAAAATGGTTAAACGGAATTAGTGTCTGGAGAAGGAGCCAAAGATACCTCATATGGAATTAGACGCTGACTAATTTCTTGCTCTTTTGGCATCTCTCAAACTTCCCTCTAATGGCAAGGCTATTCCAAAATGTTCCACGGCTGGGCTTCAGACAGCTCTGATAGCTTCGGAAGTGTCATCTGCATGTGTTATTAGGAGAAGAAAAAAAAAAATAGTAGTATATTGAATGAGCTGCTTTGCCCTGTTTATTTATTTATTTTTAGAGAGTGACTCTAAAACGGAAACAGGTTCATTTGTTGGTTTAGAGGCTTCTGTATACTTACTTCCTGCATCTCGTATGAAGAAAAAGCTTTTCCATCTTTTCAAAGTCGACTTGGGATCTGAGGCTGGGAGCGTTTTCCTTGGGTGTGTGTTATTTCTCATGGACTTGCCTCCCCTCTGGGTGAGATGCAGATCTGTCAGGTTGAGGCCAAGATGCTGCAGTGGATCTTGGGCCTTGATCTAAGAGCCATTTGAGCCTGCTTAAACAGTTTTGGAAGTCAGACAGCTTTGGATCTGACCCTGGATTTCACCATTCTTCTAATAATTCAGTAGTTAAAATCCACTCAAACTTCTAATTCTGCAGTTGTGCTGTCCCTGCACTGCTCCTCGAATCAGTTAGTCCAGCACCTTCCACCTGCAAAGGTGACACACAGAGGGAGCAGAGACGTTTGGAAAGATTCACGAGATTCTCTCCAAGCCAAATCCTAGGTGTCCATGGATTGCAACGCTGCTTTCCTGTTGGATATATTAGCGCACAATATATTTTCATGTTACTGAATAGATGGAATTATTTGGGGAGACCTTTTCATTTTGAATCGCTAAGACGTACCAGAAAATATTAAACGAATTGAATGGTGACATAAAAATACTATTTATATATAGTCACCCTTGTCTTATTTCCCATGACTGCTGGAAGCATCTTGGCTCTTATTTGTAGTCCGCAGAGAATAGACTGGAATTGAATTTTATTGCAGTACAGTGATCGTTAGGGAGCCGTAAGGTGATGAAGAGAGCCACGCTAGTGTCCCTTTGATCCTTGACTTTGTTCTACAGTATTTAGCATGATCATTATGTGCACTATTTTGACCAACTGTGTATTCATGACTTTTAATAACCCGCCCGAATGGTCCAAGAATGTGGAGTAAGTAATGCTTCTTGTGTTTTTAAGTACCTCACAGAACATTGTTTTTCCTTGAGAAATCTGTTCCTACTCCCATTTAAGTTAGCATGAATGCAAGTCGTCTTTTATATCCACTTTGTTTAGACCAAAGTCTTTGTAATTCATCTCTTTTCATGCCTAAATTGACATTTCTACAAACTTTTCAGTGCGGCTCTCTTTCTTCCTCATAACAGGTATACATTCACTGGTATTTATACATTTGAATCACTTGTGAAAATTATTGCAAGAGGTTTCTGTATAGATGGCTTTACTTTCCTACGCGATCCATGGAACTGGCTAGATTTCAGTGTGATCATGATGGCGTAAGTTGTGTTTTCAGATTATTTCAGGTGTTTGTGGCGTACGGGAGGGGATGAGACCTTAGGAAGGGGGCGGGGGTGTGAGCAGAAAACAAATCAAGGAAAACTTCAGTGAATCCCCAAAAGATTTCTTTCTTGATTTTTCAAAAGAAAGCTTTAGCCTGACACAGAGTCACACATCTAAAATGCAACTCCGTGGAGTTAGTGGAGTTGCTGCTGCAAAAAAGACGATTTTCTGAAAACTGCTTTTATTAATATAAGACTTTATAATAGTGCCTAGCATTTTAGATTGCTTACATGGCAGAGTGGCAGCTTATTCTGTTAAGCCTAGGACTAGGAGCCAAACAGCTTTAAATTCTAGTCTCCACCACTCCTTCCCTCCTTGGGCTTGCATGTTAAAATTTCCTGGGCTGCAACTTCAGGTTGAACAGTTATTAACCCATTTCTGATGAAGATGTAGCATCAGAGAAGGAGGCACTTTATTTTTCTTCCTCGTTCTTTTCTTTTGCGCCAGATCAGCTTACATTGGTCTGATAATGAGGATTCATGGGGATGTCTGAACTCACAGCTGAACCAGGAGATGCAGGCTAGATTTCTGGCTTTTTCCTTATCGGCCTGCGTTGATCGTTGCTTAGGCTTAGTACCGCTGGTGAAAACCAGGTGGATGTCCCTGGTCGTCTGAGTCACCGGTGGAAGAGATTTTTTTTTTTTTTTTTCCCCTTTTACGTTGTTTTTTGGAATATTGTACGTGTGCATGTTTGGGTTCCCGTAGTCAACAACGGCCGCTGAAAACTGAGGAAAGCTCAGGAGCCTAATTTTCAAGGGTTCAGAGCACTTGAATTTCATTGTAGCAAGATGCTTTAATCATCTCAAATGCCCTTTTTTGGCTGGATTCTGCACCCTGAAACCTGAGTTTCTGCTCTTTTTCTACTTGCCTTTTAGTCGTGTATTTAAACTATATGCAAAGAGTTGGACATTGTACACAAAAGGCAAACCAACCGGTAACTCACTGACACTTTTACTTCGGAATAGACGGGGATCTGCTGTGCACGGTGTAAACAGGCCTGTGTGGGTGAGGCCTCCAGTTCTGTGCACACAGACCGAATCCGGCCTGTCAATTTGGTTATTTCCTTTGTTTCTCGATAAATTAACAAGTGATGGCGTGCCAGCTTTAAAAGGCCCAATGCATCGATCTTAAATAAATGTGCTAAATCTCTAGCTGATCAGACTCTGTAACCTCCTCATTTCCAGTGAGGTTGCCTGTAGATGTCAAATACAATCCTTTTTTTGTGTCAAGGGCTGCGGCAAGCCTCTGTGTTATTTCAGTCCCACTAAGAGGGTCTGAGTTTCATGAAGCCCTTGAGGCCTTTTTGCACCAGGAAGAATCGGGACTATTGTGCATTTCTTTGCTTTTTCGTACCACGTTTATCCCCAGGCAGCGCAGAGGAAATGTTCTGTTCTAAGCTGTGGTAAAATATAACTCTGTTAACCTTGCACTAAGCCTCTTATCCTCTGTGTATCTCAGGTTTACCCCCTTGTAAACCAGGGATAATCAGACCTACCTGTGGCTCACAAACAGGTAGTAAAGCATAAAGGATTAAAATGAAGGACGCTAATCAAAGCAAAAGATGATCATGCTTTATTAAAAACATGAAGTGAAGCGAATATACCTGAAACCATTGAACTGAGGCGATGTCACCAAGTCTCCTCGCAAATTTGGCACTTTTATAATTGCCGTCTTCTGTAGAGATAGCGTTAAATTTTCCAGTCCTGTACAGGCGAGAATGCAAGTATCTAACCCCGCACCTGGACGAGCTGGTTGCAGCGTGGAGAGACTTAAACTGTGTTTTGGCTCTGAAATTTTCTGTCTCTCTCTTTTAAATGCCAGTTCGAAAGCATTTTAAATGACAAGCTGTTTCCTATAAACAGACAACTATATGAAAAGGAAGGTGACCCCAACGGTGCCATTAACTCTGGTTTAATTCTGCAGGTATATAACAGAGTTTGTAAACCTAGGCAATGTTTCAGCTCTGCGCACTTTCAGGGTTCTGAGAGCTTTGAAAACTATTTCTGTAATTCCAGGTAAGGCGGCCTCCGGTTGGTGTTAGCTGTTGGGTACAGGCCCCTGTGAGTGATGTATTGCTTTGTCTGTAGTTGTTGTTTTATTTTGGTGTGTGTATTGTCATTGTGTTTTTTGTGTGTGACCTCCCTCATTGCAGATATGTCACAGAGTTTGTGGACCTTGGGAATGTCTCAGCATTGAGAACTTTCAGAGTTCTCCGAGCTTTGAAAACTATCTCTGTAATTCCAGGTGAGAACCATTAAGCATTAAAGGCTGGTCTTGCGTGTATCTCTCTTCCATATCCCCCCTCCCGTCCTGCATTGCTTATTTCTCAGAAATGGCACTGGGATGTTTTTGATGGGCTTTGCAGTCTGCATACACAGAGTAGTTTGAAATTAAGGCTCCTGGGCCATCAAATCATGGGATGAACAGTCTGCTGTTCCATCCTTCTTTATCCCTGCGTACACCTGGGGCTATCCGATCTCTGAAAGGAAAGCTGGGCCTAAAGTTTAGTTCCAGATGAATAACGGATCAGACACTCCCTGCTCGGGCTGAACGGGTTCTTGCTCAGTGAGTCATCCCACTATCGTCAGTGCTTCTAGAGATGTTGTAGGAACCAGTTTGTAAAGCAAGTGAGCAAAACCCAACCAAGATGAAAACCTTTCTGCGTGAGGCTACTTCAGTTACTTGGAGTCAGATGGGACCTGGGGCAGGCTGTCTTCTAGGTAATGACAAAAAGCTTGCCTCCCCGTTGTCAGAAAGGGTTGATGGTGCCGTTTTGAGGCAGACTAAATGGACCATTGGCATTACCGGCTTTGGCATTTGTCCGGTGTAGCGGAACCGGCCGTCAGCTATTAATGCAATAGTGTGTGACCCAAAGTACCAACCGAGCTTTCAGTAAGCCAGGATTCATAGACCTGCCCATTTCACGTGCCGCCCAGAGCTGGACTTTGCAGGCCCATCGCTTACAAAGCTACTTCTAGACTCTAACGCAATCTGGGTGTAACAGGGGAAGCAACAGCCCTTCCTTTATTGTAAGAGACCATGGAGGCGTCATGGACTGAGAATATGATTCTGATCCCAAATTCTTGTCTAGAAAAGTCTCATGCAGATGGTTTCTCAAAAGTGTCCCTAATTTTAAGGTCAAGCTCAAGACTCAATTTTCGTAGGCACCAAAGCATCTGTAGTTTTCCAGTTTCTAGGTGCTTGACCTGTCCCAAGGTAGGCACCCTAAATAATCACTTGATGAGTTTCGGTCTTCTATTTCTTTGTGGTTTGTTTCCTAATGCATTAACTCATAATAGTTCTTTCGCTTTCTCAGGCTGCACTTGCATATACGTTTGCCAGAAAAGAGACTATGGAATTGTAGGGGCCCATCACTTTTGTCCCCATTCCAGACTGCTAAACCCATCAGATGTATATGGCTGTTGTGCATGATGTTCTTAAGTGGCACCTGCTTTCCTTGCACCAAATGAGAGTATGCTAGAATAATGGTCTTACTTAGCCTTCCGTAATGTTTGGTAGTGCACATACAAAGAGCAAAAGATATGTGGGAATTGCTGTTAGCAGTGCACTAGACGGATCTGAAGTGCAGTTGTGATTCTGTCAGCCTGCTACAGGTATTAACTGGCTTGCCAAAAAGAAAAGCATCGATGTTGAAATAAGTTTTGTATGTGTTTTGCTTTCATAATCGTAGCAAAGTGAAGATGATGCAACTTTAATGAGCTGGTTACTAAATGTGTGACAGCATGCCTTGTCTTCCTATGGAAAGGAGCAGAACAGTTCCGTTTTGTATGATTCTGTCCGTACTACTGCTTTTATGTCAAATGACAGCAAGGGGGACAGATCTGAGCCCTGGAAGTTCTGTGCAGCCGTACTTTTTACTAAAGGGATGATGTGCCGCACGCTTTTACTAAAGGGGTGACCTGCTGCACAGAGCCGAGGGGATCCTGTTGGAGCGTGGGGCACGCTGAACGCGTCCGTGGCTGGAACTGCGAACGGCAAAACTTTGGGTATTTGTATCAGGCTCTGGACAGGGTTGCCCCAGTTGTGGTTCTGCAAAGCACAGACCTTGCTCAGCTCTCGGTTTTGTGACTAACAGTATGAGGAATGTAAAGGTTTGCGTAATTAGCCTTTTGGGTTACTTAATATGAACTTAGGCATAGAATGCTCTTTATGGGTTTTAGTGGCATCACGTCTCAGGGAAGAAGTGATTTTTAGAATACACTTAATATTACAGTGTAAAGGAGTTCCCTTTCTGCTCCAGCACGTGTAATGGAATGGGAATTTTAACACAGCGCCGAGCTAATGAGAAACTCATGTTAGTGTTATGACGAGCGCTAACTACATCTTCTGTCAATAACTGGAATTATCCTCAGTGTGTTTTTTAGACAAGATAAAAATGGGAAATCTTACCAGAATATGACACACCACTGGACAAAATTCTGTGCAGGTAGAGGGTCTGTATGGATTTGGTGACAGGAGGAGACTGTGACACCTATGAGCTAAAACATCAAAATATTGCCTTCCTCTTATGGCTTGGTAGACCATATCAAACTCTGTGGTGATCTAAAGATTTTTATTTTTTTTTAATTGGCACTTGAGTTATTGGTATTTTAATTGACTATTGCCATCAGTCTCCATGCATTGCCAGCCTGTGGCACACCTACGTTCAATAGGACCCGGGGAAATCTGGATCTGCCGTACAGGATGGCGATTGCTTCAGCTGAAAGCTGTTGAAGTTCCTTTGTCCTGTGCCTGGGGATGCTCTTGCTGCCAGTTGATCACCTCGGTTTGAAATCCTGTTCTCCTTAGACGCCTGTGAGAGAGCGACATAGGAACTAGAAACAGAAACGCTGGTGCAAATGGCTGCATGCGCGGAGTGGTGCATCTTCGAGCGGTGGAGATGAGCATGCAAGCGAGTGTTGTAACGGTTATTTGTCTGCCGGAACTAACAGCACAAACTGCTTTGTCTTGGAGTAGGGCTTTGGCATTGATTAAAAGTTTTGAAGATTGAAGTAAAAGACATTTTAAAAAATTATTCCTCCATAAGAATTCCTTTTCATTATTTTTGAATCTTTATGTTCCTGATACGGATCAAACCTCTGTTGGTATAGAAAGGTTTCTTGTCAAAGGTTTATCACAGAATGCTCACGTGGCCTCAGCAGAGACTTGGATCTGACTCCCCCCGAATTTTTTTTTTTTTTTTTTCCTCCTTTCTGCCTTCAGCCTCCTTCACTACTCATTTATAAATGCGAGATCATCCTACTTCACGTCAGAAAGGCTGATTAAAGGGCCCCAATACTGTATTATTTCTGCCTCTAAAATTCTTGCTGGTTTAGATCTGTCTCCTGAAAGCGTTAGTGCTGCGTTCTTCCCCCAGTTCCTCTTACAGACCAGACTGGTTTGGAAAACCAGCAGGATCCTTGGCTTACGCCTGAGCTTACTTTTATTACTGAGCCTTGCCTATCAGTGATCCCGACGGCCTTGGTAAAACCCAAAGAGCCAGCGCTCTGGATGAAATCCTGCCCTACCCGTAACAAACCCCATGATCTAAACGAAAGATTCAGCCCCCGCAAGGAAAGGGGAAGTGCTGAAACAGTTTAGTTAAGCAGTAGAAACTTAAGATGTAGACAGTTCAAAAGGTATTTGGTCTTTGTAAGTTGTAGTTTGTGCCAATAAGCCAATTAAACACAACTACGTGTGTCCATGGAGAGGTTTGTAGCAGTGTATATTAATTTAACACCTTTGTTTAGACCAAGCCTGCTTTGACAGCAACGACTCCCGAGTACGCTTTGCATCCTGTGCTGCAGGGCTCAGATATTCTCAGGGCTGGTATTTCAGTTTGTTCTAACTATTGCTAGTTCATCACTGAAACCGGTGAGCTTGGTTCACTCGTCACCTTTATCGCACTGTGGAAAAACCTGAATGTGAGCGGTGGTTCCCAGGAACCATGTTACAGCAGCAATCTTTCGCCACCGTATAGCGGTTGTAAGGTACTGTACGTATTTGAATTTTCAATGTCTTTTCATTCTACAGGAGTGATTTCTAGTCTTGTTTTCTCCTCTGCAGGCTTGAAGACCATTGTGGGTGCCCTAATTCAGTCTGTGAAGAAGCTGTCGGATGTAATGATCTTGACAGTGTTTTGTCTCAGTGTCTTTGCTCTGATCGGGTTGCAGCTGTTTATGGGCAATTTAAGGAACAAGTGCGTGATATGGCCAATTAATGTGAACGAGACTTTGCTGGATAACGGCTCTAGGGGCTTTGACTGGGAGGAATACACCAACAATATGTGTAGGTATTTCTGCAGTGAGACTCCCTAAAACTTTCTTATTTGACTCAATGCTGCTGAGCAGGATTTCCGACGTGGTTATAATGTGGTGTGTCCAGCTCTGCGCAGGAAAAACCCCTTGCTCAGATATTTTTCAGTTTTTAGAAACCTGGCCTTGTTGAGGTGTTTCTAGTTGGGTTCGTCCGTTTAGAAGGTCTTGGCTGTGCTCTTTTAGCTAAATGAAGACTTTGTCAACAAGGCTTTTTTTTTTTTTTTTTACTGTTTTGTTTCCAATTGAAAACTCTTTAAATATGGTAAATGGGAAGTAACTGCCCATTTAAATCCCTGGGCTGAATGTCAGGTCCTTCACTTAGTTTTGCTGAGTTCTTCAGAGGATGCACATGAAGTTGTTGGTACCTGTCTCTGTTTCGCATCATCCTTCCGTGCTGGCAGGGTTTCAGAGCTGTAACCGATGCTGTGGACGATCAAGGAACCAGCCTCCAAGTTTTTGTAACTTAATTTCTTCCTCCGTTCTCACTTGGAGCTTCTCTACTGTGCAGTCAGCTAGTTTTAAATCTTTATTCAGAATGCTATACTGACTTCCAGAAAGGTGTTTAAACTCAGGCGCAGTTAGTGGGGCTAATGTTATTTAAAGCTGAGTTAGTTTACCGATTAATTTATCAGAAGGGGATCTAGAGGGCTCTTCAATGAAGTTTTTGTAGTGCTGTTGAATGTTAAATCCTGTAACTCCATATGTGTGTGCATGTAATATCCTCTTTTTCATCTTCTTCAGCAAATTTTTACATAATTCCTGGCGCCCCTGATCCTTTGCTCTGTGGTAACAGCTCAGATGCAGGGTGAGTGTTAAGCTTTATTAAAAGTAGAGACTCTAATTACCATTGATGTTGGCTAATGATGGCAAAACTTCTGGAATATTTCCTGTTGCTTCCTTTGTTGGTTCTGGCTATATTTCACATGTAAAAGGTTTCATGTTTCTTAATCTAATTATTAATCCATTGTTACTGTCTGTTTGACTAATATAATGCAAGCTGACATTTTTCACGTCATCTCAGGAGGTCTAATAATGATTACTAGTGGCATTATTTCCCTCTGAATCCGATCCTAAGAATCATCAGAGAAGCAGGGGATGGAGGTTCAGAAATGGAAACTTTCCACGTGCTATTGCCTCCAATTGGTTTTTCCACCCAGTCCTTCAGCTCTAAAGACGTGGCAAAAGCCAGTCCTTTCGGCTCACGTCGGGTGAAAAGCCTCCCACTGCCGCATCTTGTTTCCATAGGATAAAGATAAAATCTGAAATCCTGTCTGTCAATCTCCTTGTCTGCCGTTCTTACTTGACACGGAAAGCAAAATGCATGCCATTTGTTACGAGGGTTGTGAAAATCTCCGTGAGCATGGAGAACGTGCATGTTGTCAACTTGCTCTCTCCCTGTGACTGCCTTGGTGCCCTGAAATGGCTGTCGTCTTCTTCACAGTCAATGTCCGGAGGGTTACACGTGCATGAAAGCAGGACGGAACCCGAACTATGGTTACACAAGCTTTGACACTTTCAGCTGGGCTTTTCTGGCTTTATTTCGCCTTATGACTCAGGACTTTTGGGAAAACTTGTATCAATTAGTAAGTAAGCGCTTTGCCTCGGTGTTATACGCGATGAGAATTTGGGGACGGTACAGAAAAGGAAAATGTGCCGAGCTTTATTTTATTCCTCCTATCTGAAAGAGGAACCGTGAGTAAAGCTGCACAATGAGATGCCGTGTGTTGAGGAGGAAGGGGACGTTACCTGTAAGCGGGTGTTGTACTTTTAAGCCCAGAAGGGATGGTAGGTCCTCAGCCTGCGCGCGGAACAGCAAAGGAACTGTGAATTAATTCTGGAGGAACCTGACCGCGTGCTGCAGAAGGTTCTGTGCAGTTCGGCGCTGCTCACAGAAGGTGCTCGGGCGCTTTGGAGGGCAGAGTGTTTCCTTGTAACCCGAGGACGGTTTGGGGAACCTTGCTGAAATGGCTTTTCTTCTACTTTGTTTTGTTTTAAGGGAGTCTAAGCATTGACTTTCACGCTGTACTTCTGAATCCTTTTCAGTTTGCATCCGTTGGATGTTCCCTTAAACGAAGAAGAGGGATGTCACCTTTTGTGTTTATGCCTAATGCACGTGCAGTGCCTTAGTGCTTTGCAGTGGAATTGCTGAGACGTTAAATATTCGGCACCGCTATATTTTCTTAGAAGCTTTTCAGGTCAAGAAACTTGGGATCAGTTCACGTATCAGGTGTTACTCTGAAATTGCTTTCCCCTTTCCTTTTCTCTTCCCTCTACCGTGCTCTTCTACGTCCAGACCTTACGAGCAGCAGGAAAAACCTACATGATTTTCTTTGTCTTGGTGATCTTTGTGGGATCGTTCTATCTGGTTAATCTAATTTTGGCTGTGGTCGCTATGGCTTACGAAGAGCAGAACCAGGCCACGCTGGAGGAGGCAGAGCAGAAAGAGGCAGAATTTAAGGCCATGTTAGAACAATTGAAAAAGCAGCAGGAAGAAGCACAGGTGAGTGTTTCGATTGTATGGTTTTTGATGCATTTGCGTATTTTAAGATTTATTTGCCTGTTATTACAGAGCAGTGATGTATAATAAAAGATTGCAGCAGTGCTATGGCTGCCTTTCCCTGGCGTCACGTCCGCTGTTGACTGGGGTCAACGTTGCACGTTATCTCTTCCCTGCTGCAGCTGGTTTTTCCTGGATTATATGAAAGCTTGCCGTGATTATTTTGCGTTGGAAAACTGCCTTCCATTAAGGAATTTTTAACCATTCCCAGAGTTTCTAGTTAAGTGTGGGAATGTCTTTGCCAGACAGACAAGTACGTCGTTGTTGGTCCTTTATCAAATGCCTATAAACAAAGCGGAGGGACTGAGAGAGATTTTACTACCTGCAAAAGTAGACTGTAAAAATTCTTACAAGTCCTGGCTGCAAGTTTCTTCTAAGAGAAAGAGTAAACATGTCAGTCCTGTCCCCAAGATTTGCGCTTTTCTTTCTTAAAGCAGAAAATGGAGTATTAATCCTGGTAAGATCTGACTCATTTTTCCATTCTCTTGCCTTCACCCTCAGGCCGCTGCTATGGTCACTTCGGCAGGGACGGTCTCTGAAGATGCTGTGGAGGACGATGGCGGGGGGAGGATGTCTCGGAGCTCTTCGGAGATTTCCAAACTCAGTTCCAAGAGTGCCAAGGAGCGTCGGAACAGGAGGAAAAAACGGAAGGACAAAGAACTGTCGGAAGGAGAGGAGAAGTGTGACAATGAAAAGGTGTTCAAGTCCGAATCTGAGGACGGCATGAGGAGGAAGGCATTCAGGCTACCAGATAACAGGCTAGGAAGGAAATTTTCCATCATGAACCAGGTAGTTTTAATTTCCTTTGCTAATGTTTATGCTTGCTTGTAGTCAGGATAATATTCTACTTTAGATCCTGATTAGCATGTCAAAGGAATCTGCCCACCGTCTTAAACTTGCAGCGGATCAGGATGACACTTACGGCCCAAGTTTACAGCCCTTGCGCACACTTACCCTGGCATAAACTGTTCCTGAGAGTAGGGAATCCAACCAGGTAACGTCTTCACCGACGTAGCTCAGCCAGCCAAGAGTGAACAGCTTCTTAAGTATGGCTGACGGCGAAGTGGTGATGGTTCGTGTAGACCTGGAGAGGGAGCGAAACCACTTTAGCAGCACTTGACGGCACTGCAGTGCTTTCTTTCCGTACTATTCACGCTGTTGTCATTCTTTCTTTTCTCCCTCCTAGTCTCTCCTCAGTATCCCAGGCTCCCCTTTTCTCTCCCGACACAATAGCAAGAGCAGCATCTTCAGCTACAAAGGGCGATTTCGTGACCCGGGTTCGGAGAACGAGTTTGCCGATGACGAGCACAGCACAGTGGAGGAAAGCGAAGGCAGGAGGGACTCCCTCTTCATCCCCATCCGCGGTCGCGACCGAAGGAGCAGCTACAGCGGCTAACACCTTTTTGGCAGCCGGTCCTCGCGGATTTTCCCCAACCTCCGGCGAAATGTGAAGAGGAACAGCACGGTGGATTGTAACGGCGTGGTGTCCCTCATCGGTGGCCCACCTTCCAGCATGCCTGGGGGACGCCTTCTGCCTGAGGTGAAAATAGATAAGGCAGCTACCGATGACAGTGTAAGGAAGTCAATGAGTAGATAGCTTAGGCATGGCGGTCCGTCCTCTTCTCCTCTCCTGAATGCCGCCCTTCGAGTGAAGCAGACACCCTGGCGGAATGAGAGTCGGTCTGTCTGTCCGCAGATGATAAAGTCTGTGTTGGATTGAACACCTTGTGCTTCAACTGCCCCTTTCTTTCCTTCTCAAACTCAGTGACCCACCTCCTTCTCCCCCGGCTTCCTGGGAAAAAAAGGCTTGGAATTGAGTCCTTAATTAAAGGATTAATAATAGTAGAAGTCCTTGGGGCAGTTTCAGAGGAGCTATTTACAGCATGGGAATGGGGGAACCAACCAAAGTTTCTTGCAGATGTTCTCCACAATAAGATCAAATGTTTGGGGATTTAAAGGGAAAAACAAACAGTCTTTTAGCCCTCACTAAATTTTGCAAGGGAAGCTGTTACTAAAGTGAGGATTTTTAAAAAATAATTTTGTTTAATTTTTGACTGTGACTTGTTGTAATCAGTTGACTGAATTGGTGTTGAATAACATTTTCAGTGGATCAATATTTCAGAATGCAGGAGCTCAAAAAATAGAATATTAGTGGGGCATAAAGGAATCTGGATAAGATTAAACCAACATCATTTGAAAGATGCCTAAATCTGCAAAAAGTCTGGTTACCATGCCTATGAATTCCAAGCTATTTTTTTTTAGTTATTTGAATTCTTGCAACCTATTTGACCTTAATTAGTTATGTTAAGCATTAGTTGCTACCTGATTATTTTTTTTCTTCCCGAGTTAGCATGTTAATACAATGTTTTGCTTCAGTATTTCTCTTTCTAACACAGCATGAATGTGGTAGGAATTGTAATCCGCATGATGCATGCGTAAAAGAGAAAGTATTACTTAGCAGTTATTTTGCTAACTGTATGTGTAGAGAGACGTCAACGTGCAACAAGTAATTAATTGTCATGGTGGGAGAGCTGCACGGGCTGTGCAGAGACCTTGGTTCGCAGACAGCGGAAAATTCCTATAATGAGGAAAAACCCCGGTTATCTGTTAGTATGTGAGGTTGTCTGTGCCTAAACAGAGTGGCGTTTCCAGAGCAGTCTCAGGAGGGAAGCCGTGAGGTGCCTTTAGCAGTGCGAGCGCTTTGACGTGAGGAGAGCAAGGTGATCCTACCCACGGGCAAAATCGAGACGCGGTTTCATGGTCCCGTTGCGTTAGGAAATCAGCGTCATCGTGGGCGAGAGCAGGGGAAATCCCCGTTAGTGCTTGGACAGTGATGTGGCCGAGTTTCTTTTATCCTAGTTTTCAGATGCAGACTTTGAGATAAATGTTGATGCCGTCAAATGCCCGGTTCCTAAACGGAATTAATTTGCGTGGCTCACATGAGCTGGGGTGGAGTTCGCACTCTGCCCAGACGCGTTGCAAAGTGCCCTGGTTAAAAGAGTCGCTGCCTGTCTGTGCTGATTGGTAGAAGTACAGAGTGTAAATTACTTTGTACTACAGCAATCTTCATTAGAAATGTTCTTTAAAATATAGTCCTTAATTTGTCTAAGGCTGCAAAGCACTGGTGCTAGCAGAAATGAGGGCTTCGGTTTTGGTTTGACCACTTACATAATGAAGGAAAGTGAGAAGGATAGCAGGAACGAAGATGGTTTTCTCTCTTGGGCATACGTGCCATATTTCTAGACTGAGAGGATGTAAAATACCAGGAAGACAAAGAGTTTCTGTTAATCATCATATGGATTTTGCAGGGTACCACTGAAATCGAAATTCGAAAGAAACCTGGTGGGTCTCTCTTGGTCTCAATGGATCAGGTGAACGCATCCTATGGAAGAAAGGACCGAACCAACAGTGTGATGACCGGGTTGACAAATACCCTTGTTGAGGGTAGGTATGGTTTGCAGGCGTGCCGGTGGTATTTTTCAGTAGGTATGGATTGCCCTCTCGTGGTGTGCTGTAGGAAGACAGAGGACCCATCCACCTGGCAGTTAGAGGATAGTTCCTCACGCCACATCTGCCCTGAGTTCCTTGTGCCGGAGCCGTGCTGGCTGTCCCTCTGCGTGGCCGGAGGTGTGGCTGGTCACGAAATACGGGTACGGACACACGTGTCTGCTCAGTTTGCCCCAGAGAATGCCAAATAGTAACATTAAACTTCATGAGGCGGCTTTGTAGTGGTTTAGGGGATTAGGGCGGTAGCTGGGTGAGGGGTGTAGGGTGGGGAGGACGGGCTCAGGTCAGGGCCCATCTGTTGGGCAAGTGCAGCAGAGCAGAGATCGTTTTTGAGCCTTGGGTAGCTGACAGACGTGCGTACCCTTCAGATACACAGGATTTAGCTATCCCTGCTTTCGGGTGGTACATATTCATGCATTGGTTTTGCATAAACCTGCTTCTTTTGAGTTGTTACTGATACAGAAGCATTTATTAGGCTTTATTCTACTTGGTTTTGCATCTGATTTATATAGATACAGAGATGAAGACAACAAAAAGTTGTTATTTTACAATAATGAATCTGCAATGTGGAGATTATAGGACTAAGACAATGTCTGATACAGGTGTTCTGTCTTCTGCCACCTCCCAAGGCCTGGAGAGACCCTCCTTTGCTCACAGTCCGTGGGAGAAGAAGATTTGAGCTACACTAAGAGCTGAAATCTGACAGCTGTCAAAAGAGAAAGGGACTTCTGCATGACGGAAATTCTGAAATGGACAGCACACGGAGATGAGATTTCCAAATATGTTATGCGGGAGCCA